CATTCTTTCAGAGATTGGAGATAAGCCTGCTTAATTGGCTACAGCTGTGGAATAGCCCCGAGCAATCAATCAATCCGGGGCTCCTGAATGACTGCGTCCTCCAGAAATGACTGCAAGCAAGCAGGAGGAGAGAAAGGATCAAGTTAACGAGGGGAAGGAAGGTGCGAGAGAACGAGGGCTTCATCAAGCTTATTTAAATATATGGAGAAAATGGATGGATGGATGGAGGGAGAGTGGGTGGGTGGACGTGTGTGTGTGTGTGTGAGAAAGAGAGAGAGAGAGACTGACTCAAAACTATGAAAAAAGGAACAGGCAAGGCTTGAATTAAGGCAGGAAAAAAGGTGGCTTCATCAAATACTGTATCATTTCCTTTCAAATCAAGGGGGTAATGTTGGCTTATATAATTTTTTTGGGGGGGGGGTAAAAGGTAAAAAAGTTCCCTGACCCCTGCTCTAAATGATAAGTGGAAATTAATGATTAAACTAAGACTCTGCCAGTGCTCTTACCCATGGACTTGAGGTGGAGTTTTCTTGATATTGGTACCCTGATTATGCAGTCCATCCTCAACAACTGTGGCCAACCTCCATATTGTTTTAAAAAGCATGTTTATTCAGTTGTGATTTTGAAATGCAGCCCTGCCCTAGGATCTCACTGTTTTAATATTATATACTATTTTATTACCTTTTAGTTTGGTTTTATGATTGACTTTTAACGATGTATTGGTTATTTTTTATCTGTTAGATACCATCCAGCACTTCTTTCAGAGAAAGGGGAATCTATAAATAAATAATAGGCCAGCTTGTATACAGAAAAATGTCTTACCCAATAACAATACAAATATTGTTACAAGCAATATAATACTGGTTTAAAGACAAATAGAACTGCATTAGTAAATGGCACTGAAGCTATCTATACTGGTTGTTCTCCACAGTTGTCCCAGAGCTAGGCTACAGGTGTGCCCATACTAATATTTAAAACTTAGATTTGGAACCCTAAATGTCCATGACTCCAAGAAGTCCTGACCATTGGCTGTTTTTGCTAGGACTTCTGCAAATTGTAGTCTAAGGTTATTAGAGACCATTTTTGGGAATCATGGCTATAGTATATCTATCCTATCATAGATTCACTAAGGCTCTTGAGACAGCTTGGGGTTTTAAGCATGCATCTCTTTGAGACGGCTTACTGTGCTAAGTGGCCACTGGTCATAAGGCTCATAATCTAAGTTGGAACTTACTGACAGTGGAAGGCTTTCCTCAGCAAGCCATTAAGATCTCCTGAGCTTGGGAAGAGATTCTCTCTTATTTTAGTGAGAGACTTTATTAACTATCCTGGTAGTCTTTTGTTCTCTCTTTAAAAACAACAGTGCTCATCCTTGTATTTATTCTTTATGTGCAGGGATTAGATGAGGCAACAACTAACTATTGCAATGAGAAGATATAAATCCCTTCGATGTTGACACCAGTTGTTACACTCTCATGTTTCTTTGATGTACAGGTTAGATATCAAGTGTAATGCCATCTTGAAAATCTACCACAATTGTAGATTTCTCACTAAAGCTTAGATAATCATTACAAGGGGAAATGCTGGATTCCTTAACTGAAGATGGAAACTGCTGATAGATCAGGTGTTTTGCACAATGATAGATAGATAAAACCTTTATTGGCATAAGTAGAAATTGGACATAGTCATGGTGGTTTGTTAGGTAACTACATATATAGACATCAAGAGGGCAGAAAAGTATTAGACGTCCTTAAAGGGACAGGGGTTCGTCTCAACAATAGTATCAAGGAAGTCTGCGACTCTTTCTACAATGTCAGTCATCTCGGCCACCATCATATAGCTAACTTTATCCAGATCTGACCTCCCTTCCAGCTTTAATAAAATTGAGGCTATCAACCTTGATTGGCCGATCGAGTGAAGCGGGCAGTGCAGAAACATATGAACGAGGGTTCTTCTTTGTGGCCTCTGTGAGTCATACTAATAATCCACACATGTGCAGAGCCTCGTCGAAATATTCTAGAGCTTCTGCGGTAGCAGAAAGATACATTAGTACAGACCCCTCCTCCCAGTATATGTACCTTGGCGCCAAGGCTCTCCCTTCAGTTTCTTTCAACTGCCACGTTGAGAGCCTTGATCATTGCTTCTGTGAGAAAGGAAAGTTATTGAACTTTATTTAAAATCTATAAAATTATTATTATTATCCTTATTATTTATGAAACAAGATACACTCTGGCCTTTAGGGTCAAAGCGTTCCCCCCCCACCTCTCAATTGTTTTCTTTTCAAACCAGTTCTCGGTTAATGGCCTCTTCAGGCCCGTTTAAATGCTGCGTAGCCGGCGATAACAATATCTCGCTCTCTGACAGCCACATTAAATGCCTTTTTTGCCTCCTCATTTTGAGGCCCATCAAACTTCCTCGTGCCCTCACTGCACTTCCTATCAAAATGTTTTATTAATAAGGTGTGAGAGTATCAAGCAATTGTCGATTGTGGACTTGCCTTTCCTTAAACTAGCTTGCTCAGGGCCAAGAATACATTGATTGTCAGTCCAAGAGATGAGTTTGTTTAATAGGCATTTTGCATATCATTTCCCAATCACTGATAGTGAGCTAGGTAAAGGTAAAGGTTCCCCTTGACAATTTTTGTCCAGTCGTGTCCGACTCTAGGGGGCGGCGCTCATCCCGCTCTTCAAGCCATAGAGCCAGCGTTTGTCCGAAGACAATCTTTCCGTGGTCACATGGCCAGTGTGATTTAGACACGGAATGCTGTTTACCTTCCCACCGAGATGGTCCCTATTTATCTACTCGCATTTGCATGCTTTCGAACCGCTAGGTTGGCGGGAGCTGGGACAGGCGACGGGTGCTCATTCCGTCTCGTGGATTCGAACTTACGACTGCTGGTCTTCTGACCCTGCAGCACAGGCTTCTGCGGTTTACCCCACAGCGCCACCACATCCCTAATTGGCCTATAATTTTCTGGGAGGTAGGGATCCCCCTTTTTATAAATTGGGGCCAGAATTGCATTGGTCCAGGCTTTAGGAATTGACCCAGTGTTGTCTATAGCAGAAAAGAGGGGGCAAGTATTGAAGCCCACCAATCCGGGTCACATTTCCCTAAGTCTGGTGGAATAGCATTGAGGCCAGCTGTTTTTCCCACTTTTAATTGGGTTATTAGATCTTTAACCTCATCAGTAGATGCTGGATGCACAATGACAGTAAAGGGATATAAAAACTTTTGGTTCTCTTTTAGGTTTCAGGTGGGAGGGTGCCATTTAAAACCAAAAAGCAGGACCAGTAGATTAATAGTTGGTGTTATTTGTTTCTCTTCACAATTTTCAGCTGAGACTCTTGAATAGGATTTACAATGGCACCATGGGGATTGTTTACTAAAATAATCCAAAGTCTAACAAGCACTGTTTTTTTACCCCACAGCTATGACAACATAATATCCATATTAAAATGTCTACAATACGATACTCTTCTTTGATTCTCAAAAAATAAAAGGAATAGAAATATTTAGTCAGGAGAAAAAAACAGCTTTCATTTCTCAGTCATCCTCCCCAGGGGATGTACAGCTCTTTCCTTTTTTGCATGAAAATAGCTTTATCTTAAGACTGGATTCAAAAGTCCTTTTGTCTGGCTTTTACGAATACCAGCTCTAATGCTTAGTAACTCAGCTTATCTTTTAGGTAGAAAATTGACTCAAGTGAAAGTAATTCTGTCATTTTGTCCACCAAATATTCCCTTAGCAATCAGCAGAACATTAAAGTACTCCTACTCCATATGACCAAGGGTCTGTTGAAGCTTTCTCCAGCTAGGGAAAGGTGCGAATTTTGTTTCAGGTTTTTTAAAATGTGAAAATTCACAAAAACTGAATATGAGAAAACATAGAAACTGACAGATTTGTCCATTCCTACCTCCTACAAACAGTCTTCCATATATTTAGACTGTTACTTTCATAATATTGGCCATGGGTGGTTGGTTGGTCTTGATGGCATTTGTAGTATGGCATTTCAGATCTACCGCATTTAAAAGGGACTGGATTGGGGAAGGCAGATAAATCAACATTATCTTTCTGACAGTGGTAGTTTCTCTAAGCCTATGAACAGGACGTTAAGGCTACAGAAGTGTGAAATCAGTGGGCCACTGCATGTGAACCAGAGCTTAGGAAAGTTAAGTTTTGGCTTACGTCTCCCAGAATCTTCTATGCAGCATGGGGCCTTTTTAAAGCTCTGATGTAAGCATGGACATTTGATGTAGCTAGCATTGAAATATATCTTTTCTAATGAATTCGTCTAAAATTGCTAGAGCCAAAAAGAAGAGATAAATTTTGGGTTCAGGCAGATTTTTGGCCTTACCCAAAGCAAGTCTAGCGAATTTTCACGTGACGATGAGGTACAGCAACCCAAGTCTTCCATGAACAAAGCAGTCTCAAATGGTCCATTAGGTCCAGACATAATGGCCAAAGGCAGGTATACTTCAAGAACTTATATTCTAATAATGTCATGAACTGCAACGTAACCCTTACACAACCAGATATCTTCTCTGATCGAGTGGTGTAAAAACTGAAACTGGCGTTGGCATCTTGACCTCCTTGGTTACTAGGGCTAGTTGACAGAGGGTTATGGTGGCAACGGTGGACCAGAATATCTTGTGGCCAGTGGATAATCATGGGTTGTAAGGCTTTTTTGAAGGTTTTCAGATTCAAGAAATCTGAATTTTCAGATTCATATAAATGGTTTTCTTGTTTTTCCAAAAGGAGTGTGGTACAGAATTTTTGTAGTAGTTTGGCCTTTTCCAAAGAAATGGGGTGAGTTTTGACAAGAGAAGGTTTGCATTTGTGATTCACATGGTTACTAGCTTTGTCCAAAGAAAATTAAATAATCATGGTATTTATTTAAAAACTAGGAATGTAATACCAGCCATATCCTAGCACAAAGAATTCAGAGCATATCCTGGTATAATGTATATATTTAAAAATAAACAATCCGTTTCTTATCTCAGGTCCGCACAAGCATCCTGGCAGAACACAAAGAGCCATCAAGGACAGATTCTGGGGTAAGTCTGGTTACCTCATTGATAAACATATAGAGAGCATCATCCTATTTTCTGCACCAGGAACCTTTGGGGCCATGCAGACCATGAAAAATATGAAAAGAGGAAGAGAAACCCCTAAATTAGAAAAGACTGGAAGTCCACTCCAGGTTTCAATTTTATTTTATTTTACTTTCAACACTGCAGGGGAAAGGGTTCAGGATGTATTCAAAAATGAATCTCTAATTCTGAAGGCTTCCAAGAGCAACAGTCAATCTTTTCTTTTCTTTTCTCTAGGAAAACAGTTTTTAGTAGGGGACAGGGACTATGATGGGGCTTTGGAGGGCACATAAACAGTCCTTGTGGGGGTATATGTAGTCCAGACCCACACTTTGCCCATCCCAGTCATGTTTTGTTCACCATTGCTACAGCAACAAATTTGAAAGTGCAGGTACTCCATTACATGACAATTCCTATAACTTCCCCACCAAGAAATAAAAGCTGCTGGATCAATCCATATCAATAAATAAGAAGCAGGTACTTGTAAAGATAATGGTTTGTAACTGCCTGTTCAAGACCAAACTGCCTACAAATGCTTTGCATTACTAAAAGAGTACCTTGCAATAATAGACTGGTCCTGGAAACATTTTTTTTCTACTGAATACTGTGATAATTGTAGCTAAGCTCAGAGAGAAAAGGAAAGCTCAGAAGACTGGCTGATGATGTTGTAGTTCTACTTTGAAGTCCAAGTGTGTTGACTTTATGAGCCCTGACTCCTCTAAACTACTGATGTTCACTAATAACTGAAAGTTACATGGAATACCTGTCTGTCCATAAAACTGAATGTGCAACCAGGCATCTCATGTACTTTTGTAGGATTATTGTCATTATGGATACTTGGTATATTACTGTCATGATAAAATATAAGAACTCTAGATATCTTTTTTCCTGCTTAAATTGTGTTCCTAAAGAAATGAATCTGAACGATAAGATTGTGATGCACTTTGGGATATGTTATGAAATTTGATCTGATACATGAGATTATTGCAGGAATAACATCTGAGTTTGTTGTTTCTTCAACTCCACCCACTTCATATACTGATAACAAATTCTTCCTGGCAAATTATTCTCCAGACCTTCCATCTATCTCTTTTGGAAACCAGCTAGTCCCTTAAATCCAGAACCAATAACAATATCCTTGGGTAGAGCTCCAGCTACTTGTCATTAAGTCTTGAGGAACTGCAATTGAACTACTCTTTTTAGCATGTTAAGTGAAGCCTAACATCAAAAGAAGCACTCATGTTAGATTCTTATTCATGTTACCTGACTGTAAATGTTTGGTTTAATTTGGTTGAAGCTCATGGACTAGTTGCCCAGAAGCTTAAGCACTTACTCCTAACAATCATTGGCAGGGGCAGGAAACATGTGGCCTTCCAGATGTTATTGGCCTGAAGCTCCCAAGAGCCTGAGACATCACAGCCAATGAAGGGATTATGAGAGTTACATTCCAAAAATCATTGGCGGTATTTACATTCCCCAGTCTGTTTCCATGCGTGCCTTGTGTGTACAAGTTACATTTTATGTACTGGCTCCTTTTCTAAAATTGTCTACATTCTTTCATTTTCTGGGGGCTTTTTGAAAATATTTGTGATTATTACAATTACTGCTTCCATATACCTACGCTCTAGTCAGGCATGATGCTGTCTAACTTGTGCATAGTGGTTAGGAGCATTATTGACTTTGTTGATATTAGGGAATTTGGAGATGAAGGTACTGTATGTCAACTTCCATAGGGATTAGAATGCACTTCTCAAGGGCTACTCTAGAGACAACTGCTTCCTGTGTGTAGATTCGTGTTGTATAACAGAGATGATGGCAGTTTATGAATCTGAGGTGTGATTCAGGTTGTTAGGTTCTACTGCCTTTATGCAGCTATTAATGCAGGACTTCTGAGTACTCACTACACTAACAGCTGCGCATTTTTAGAGTTAGTGCAAAGATGATAATCAGTATCAGTTTTGTTACACTAGAGGTTGTACAGTTGCTTGCTGAACAGTTTGAACTGTGTGCTAGGAGGGAATTTAATTTCATTAGCATGTTTGATATTGTCCTCTTGGACCATGTAAGATCTTGTTTTAAAGAAAAGAGGGAATAATCCTTTTCAGAAGAAGCCACTAGGAAAATTGTGATGTAACTCAGGAAGATGAGTACATGTCATATGTAAACTGAAGGAATAATTGGTGTAAACTAGAAATAACACATACATGGTACAGTCCAGCAGAAAGTGAAAAGGATCATTGCCATCCCAAGAGCAAATAGGAATCAGAAGTGGGATACTGTAAAAGTTAAAATTTGTTGGTGATTTTGGAAAGTGGAAGAACAATGCCAGGAGGGAGAATTTGCTCAACAGTGCAAAGAGCCGAAACATGTAGAAATGTAAAGGCATGGGAAAATATAGGTCAGCCTAAGTGTTATTGATATAATAGGATGAATGCACTTGCATGCATTTGTGTTAGAATTAAATTAGCTTTCATGTGAAGGAAATAAAGAAACAAATGCCCCAAACAGAGTGATGAACTGCTATAATGTAGTATTGCTATTAATATCATGTTCTAAATGTTACTTTAAAATGGCTCTGGAAAACAAATATACTCATATTTGAAAAATAAAGATGATAGTGCCTCCAGGTTTGAGAAATTATTGCAGCAAGAAAAACAGTCATATAATTCTGTGGATTTAACATTACTCATAGTACAGATGCTGAATGAATAGGAAGAATAAAACCTTGTACTGAGAACAAAACAAACAACAAAATAACCTCTTACATCTGTTATTTTTTTTAGCATGGTATTTGTCAGGGTGTCATTCTGTTTGTTTTTAATGAAAAAATTGCCTCAACGTAAGAAATTATTGATAATAGTGTCACTGATCTACAGAGGCAACCTGCAGGAGAATAGATCAAGGGAATAGTTTCCTATATACCATTTCTCTCTTGCTACTAAGGTAAGGATTGCTGGTATAAGAGTAAAAGAGAAACCATTAAATTCTGAGAAATCTTATGAAGGTGGTCTCTTTCTCTCTCTGTCCCCCCTCATCCATACTCTCCCTTCTTTTATTCCCCTTGGTTTCCAGAGAAGCTTCCTGGGTTTTGCTACATTCAAAGCCGGCGAGTTGCTGAAATCAAAGGACCAACAACTGACTCTTAGCCTCAGGTAAGCCTCTCTGTATTAAGTGAGCATTCATGTTCAATTATGGCATTTAGTGATTGGCTGTTTTGAAACTAAAACTCACCTACAGATTTAACAGATGTAGGGATGCTAGAAGGTTTTACTTTATTTTCAGCAAACTAATTTAATCCACACTTCCAAAATTAATGTATAGATAAGAGAACAATCATTAAGGCAGTATATTTCTTCAAATGTGGTGTAGTCTGCAGCTTTGTTATGTGTGTGTGTGTGTGTGTTTTCTGTGCTGTCAAGTCGGAATCAATTTATAGCAACCCTAATAGGATTTTCAAAGTAAGTGAAATATTTAAGGAGAGGTTTTACCAGTTCCATTCCCCCATCAATTTTCATGGCCAAGTGGAGATTCAAACCCTGTTCTCCAGAGTACGTCACTCTGTCCACTACACCACACTGGGAATCTCACATATATTATATGTACATATGCCAAAATGTATATCAAAAGCCATACATTAGGGTACAGTGAATATAAAAATAGATGGAACACTGCATTCAAAATTGAATATTTAAATCATTCAGGGATGATCTGGATGGCTTTGGAAGCCATACTTATTCTCCCTCGGAGTTTAGCAGACTGTGCTCACCTTCTTTTAAAGACCAAAGTCTTCAACTTGGCGGGGGGGGGGGAATCCATATAAAAAAAGACAAATTGCATATCCAAAGCTTCTGAAAAGGCATGCAATTAGCCATTTAAAGGATCCTGGACCGATTTTTGTACCTGAAATAGCCTTTCTGGAAAGGATATTTTGGACCAAAGACAGCATGGGAGGTGGGGCCTAGCCTTGTTGTTGTAGTAGTAGTAGTAGTAGTAGTAGTAGTAGTAGCAGCAGCAGCAGCAGCAGCAGCAGCAGCAGTAGCAGTACCACCACCACCAGCAGCAGTAGTAATTAGCTGAAGACTTGATTTGTGCTGCACAAGAACAAGTACCAAACCAATGTGATGAAAGCTAAGATCCAAGGAATTAGTATTAACAGCGAATGTCGAGTCTGCCAAGAAAAAGGTGAAACTATGTCACACCTCATCTGTAAATATCCAAAGATTGCACAAACAAATTACAAAGTCAGACATGATAGAGTGACAACATTAGTGCACTGGTCCTTATGCAAAAAATCTAACTTGCCAGCCGCCAAAAACCTGTGGGAACAGTAGGTAGAGAATGTGTTAGAAAATGACAACGTCAAGATCTTATGGTTTTTCTGAACCCAAACAGATAGTCACCTTGAACATAACACACCAGACATGGTAGTAATAGAACGAAGAAATGTCTGGATCATTGACATTGCTATTCCAGGGCATGCCAGAGTTATAAAGAACTGGAAAAACTAACAAAGTACAGAGACCTGGCAATCAAAACATTACGCCTCTGGAAGAAACACACTTCAGTGGTCCCCATAGTCATTGGGGCTTTGGAAATTACATTAAGAAACTTCATACAGTACTATAAACATTTGCAGATCTCAGAAATCACACAGTCAGAGCTACAAAAAGCAGCAATATTAGGAACAGCATACATACTGCGCGGATATTTAACAGATACTTGGGTTTTTGGTTAAAACTTGTATCTGTTGTATAATACCAGTCAATGCTTTTATAATGTTGACTGTGCCTGGTGTTTCTGAATCATCATCATCATCATCTCCATGGGCACAGGCCTTGTTGAGGCAGAGAGGCTTGCATGAGGTTGAGAGCTGTGCTGAAGGGTCTCCCAAGCCAGACAGGTCTCAGCTGAGAAACCAGACCAACTGTGTCCACTAACCATCAATTATGATGAGAGGGAATAAACAGAAATCCATACCGGATCAGTTGTCATCCGGGTCAACAATGACCATGTCAGTTGCTATACCCCCTGGGTATCTGGTGACAAATGGGCTGTTGAGGAACCAGGAGAGGATGCTGCAAAGCTACTGGAACAACATAAATGCAAAACTTGGACTCTCACCAAAAATTGTGAAATTGCCATATTTTTCCATGTATAAAATGACACTTTTTCCTAAAATAATTAGAGAAAAAAATGAGGGTTGTTTTATATACGGTAGTAAGGAGGGGGAGGGATCAAAGTGCTTTGATCCCTTTCCCCCCCCCTCCACTTTTGGCAAAGAAAGTGGAAGGGGAAAGCACTTTCCTTGCAAGAAAATGGAGGGGGAAAGCAATTCCTTCTTTCCCCTCCACTTTCTTGCGAGGAAAGTGCTTTCCCCCTCCACTTTCTTTGCAAAAAGCTGCTTTCCCCCTTCACTTTTTGTGAGGGGGAAAGCAGCTTTTTGCAAAGGAAGAAATTTTGGGTTAGAAAAGTGAGGGTGTCTTATACACAGAAAAATACGGTATGAAATGTTATTATGAGGCAAACCCAACAGCCCGTGGTTTTCAAAAAAGAAATTTGCAAAAGGAAACACCTAAATAGTGACATAATTGAACAACAATTAATGGACCAGAAAAGATTTATCATCTAGGAGTAAAGTATTTTCTGAACTGGAATTGCAGAAACTAGAAAAGATGGCAAAAGAAAAATCAGCACAGAACAACGAACATAGTATGGAAGACAAATGGAGGGTAGAGGTACATGCAATAGTGAAATGAAACATGTCAATAGATACCTCTGTATATTTATATATTTCAATGTTTTATTTGTTGCTGGTCTTTGAGCGTAATAAAGTTTTGTCCTATCATATCAATAGACGAACAACTTATGGAAAACCCATAAATTATGAGTTAACAGAATGGCAAACATCACTGGGGAGGAAATAGTATTCCATATTAGCCAGAACACAGAAAGGCAAAGGCTTCCCAATTTGCGCCAGTTACAAAGTAATCAGTAAAAGATCTACTGAATGATGAAATGTAGTCATCAGAACAATCCGAGTAGACGTCTAGAGGGGCGGGGTAAAAATCGAATACATAAAATAAAATAAAAATAAAATAAATCCCAATCAACATGCTAAAGGAAACAAACCAGCTCATATATAGCACAGCTGCCATAATAACCAAGCTTCCCGATCATCCTCTTGAGAAAATTTTTATCATTTTGTCATTTTATCTAGTAGTATGTAATATGTGTGAATTTCCTCCTTGACCTATAGTACTGAAGTGGGGCAAGGTAAATGTATTGGTTGAAGTGTGTGATTAGAATTTGGAAGACTGATTCTGAAGTGCCCACTGAGCCATGAAATTCACTCTTTGACCTTGGGCCAGACACTTTTCCTGTGTCAGCTTGGCCTTTGTTATAATGTTTTGATAAGTGGTTGATCTCAGACATTCTCTCACCACTCCTTGATCACAGGCATTCTCTCGTAGCCTGATGTACACTTACTCTTATTGGGGGGGAAAGCAGGTTTTAATCAATACAAATATTACAATAGTAGGTTGACTACAGTTTATGAATTGGGATCTTCATGCCAAATGTGATGCCTATATCTCAAAAAGTGGATCCTGAGAAGCCTCAGTAGGCAACTGCTTATTCCTTCTTATCATAGCTTGAGGACCTAAGCTGGGGCTGGTGAGTCACATTTTAGGTAACAGATAGGTTAAAAAAATTAACTGTCATAGCCTCACCAGCTTTGCTACAGCAATGATACCAATGAGTAATTTTCCTCCATTAAGTGCTTCAATTGTGTCTGCAGAGTGCCAACTTGTGGTGCTATTCTAGGTGATTAATGCCTTGGTCAGTCAATGCTGTATGTATTCAGAGGCTGAGCCGGTTTGATGAATTTGTTGCTACTCTGCAGACAAAACTGTATGTTTTTGGCACCTCTTGGGGGTTGCATGTTAAATACGGTCGGAATTTGAAGAGTTGGGGCACATATTCTTGTGTGGCATTTTGATTTTGCCTACTTGAGTGATAAATTAATAACCAACAATCAGAACGAGTCCTCATAGTTCCATGCTTCATAGCTAAGGTTTGTGTGGGGTCTAACTTACAACTCATTTCATGCGTATATCCCAAATATGAATTTATTAGAGTTCCAAAAGATAGTCAGATAGACCACAGCACAAAAACATCAGATTTGCAGGGTTTTTTTTGATAAGGCTATAAATCAAATTATAAGTATATGTTGGAGATGCTGCCGTTCAATAAATTGGACATGCTGCATTTAAAACATTTATTGGTTTCTTGAGCCAAAAGAGCTTTTAATACTTTCTCTAAGACATATATTTCATGGGCAGGGAATATAAATCCCATTCAGTGTTGTTTTTTAAGATAGGACAGGCTACTGAAGAAATAAGATTTAGAAATTCAATTATTCCAAAAAGCATTTAATAGAAACCACACTTTGCATGTGTAATTGATGATGGGATCTTTTGAAATACCTGCAGAATGTTTCCAGGTCATGTTTCTTCCTTAGTAAGCACAACAATTAATAAAGAAATCAGCATGCCTGTCTTCAACACGCATGAATTTAATTAACTTATTTTTAAATAGCTGACATAGAGATTGGACTTTCTAGTTGTTTCTGATTGTGACTTGCCATAGTGAAGCAGATGGATGTCAGGTTGGCTGTATAAACTAGGCAGTGCTCCAGAAAAGTAGAAAGAAACTTTGGCAAATGGTGTAATAAAATTTTATATGAGGATGAACAAAAGTAATAGTAAAATTTGTTGCTCAATGACATTTTATTTATTGCTCAAACTGTCAGGAAACACAGAGAAACTCTGCACAGAGTTTCATAATTTTAAATATTAAGTCTGTATGGAAATAGTAGCCTTATAAAATGATTTTGTCATAAAAATAAAAGACCTGTTCTTTTAATCAAGAACTGTAGAGAAGTAATGTATGCTTTTATTAGCCTGCAAAATTTAGTTGTGTCTGTTATGTAATAGGGAAGACTAATTCTTGTGACACTAAAACAATTGAATGTCTACCATAATTCAGGATTTATATGCAAGTCAGCTTTATGTTATGACGCTATTTTTGCCAAGTGATGGCTATGGGTAACTTTTGACTGTTCAGATTTTGATTATTCAGGAAGCAGGATTTTTTTAAAAATGACCTCTTACATTGAGCCTCACTCTTCAGTCCACCAGTCAAATAATAAATGTACTTCCTTGTACAGTATCTTTGATATACTCTGGCCACTAGAAAAGAGCACAGATTGTGGAACCTACTGATTGGTTTTAGTGATAACTTGCTCTGCTACAATTAGCATCAAATAGGCATTTGTAATGTCTGTCAGTGCTTCCATGTATGCTTGTAATAACAATTGTAACACAGTTGTGTTTACCTGATTGTCTTGGAGGATGTCCACAGCAGGGAAAGGTGACAATACAATGGTATGTGCGCTAGGGACACACTGCTGATGAGACCAGGCTTGAAATAGCCACAGATGCCTTGAGCAATTCATTTAGTCCTGCCTGAAACTGAGCCAAGGTTAAGTACTAACCATACAGACCAGGCATATTTCTGCTTTCTTTATCATGTCTTACTTCAGCAGAAGCAATCATACAGATCCAATTTGGTTCTTTCTGAAATAAATCCCATATCCTGGTGTGGGTTTTTTTTATGGTGAAAGGAACACATTCTGCATCTAGGGAAGACTATTTGTAACCTTATGGTGTGTGATTCACAGATTTTTCCGCAGTTCTGTTGAAACTGAAATCCAGAGCAACAGTAAAGATTTAATATTAAATTCAAATTGGCAGTGATACAAATCTTCTACTTTAATATGTTGTAAATGAATCCTGTTTTCAGCAGTGCATCTGCTGTGACAATTGGACTTTTAAAAGGAATACTGTTATGTGACCTGGCAACTTCTGTTTGGCTTGGATCATCCCTCTCACTACGCACTGATTTCTTGATTGATGCAACCTGTTCTTCTTGCCAGTGTGGTGTAATGAACAGAGTGATGGACTAGGACTCAAGAGACCTGGGTTCAAATCTCCAGTCAGCCATGGAAAGTTTCTGGGGAGTGGCTCTGGTAAAACCAGTGCTATAATATATCATATACCTGAAACCCCTATGAGGGTCACAGTAAGTCAGATGTGACTTGATGGCATATAACACACACATTTTTTTCCTTACACAGGTGGTTAGAGGAGCTATACAAAGGTGTTCCATCTATAATGTTGAAAGGCTTTCCTGTGTCATTCAGAACAGAATTAGCAAGGCAAATCAAATCTGCACAACCTTCCAGTTCAAATTCACTGATTAAATTTGCTCCCAACATATGTTACAAGATAAGGAGCTAGGATGAAGATATACCGAACTCAAGAGCTGGAGTCTCTCTTCCTTGACTGTGGTTCAATGTGACTAGATTGCAAGCTGCCTTGTTGTTTGGAATTTAGAAGGGCCTTTACAGATGCTAATACTGTACACAGTTTTACTGCCTAACATACATCAAGATGTCATGAAATAAAGTAATATCAGAGCATAGACATATGACAGATGGAAGGGGGACTGGGCTTTGTTGACTGACGTTTTGCTACTCATCCAAGCAGCGTCTTCAGACTGAAGAAGCTCCTTGAATGAGTAGTGAAACATTTTAACCTAACAAGACAGAAGTCCAGTTGCCATGACTCAATTTCCAGACAAAGTATTAATATGAAAAGGGCTAATAAATAATTTCATTGCCAGCTTAAAAAAAAGAAAGAAAGAAAAAGACATCCTTTGGCCTTGCCAGAAGCAGAAGAGTATGGAGGAGAGTAACAGCAGTGGCAGAGTTCAGAGAAAAGAAGGCTTGTTGCCAGCTCTAGGTGGTAGTAGGAAGAGGGTATTGGTAAGCAGCAGGGCTGTCATTTCTAGTGACAATAAACCTGCTGGTTCTATTGAGATCTTCTCCTGTGTCTCTTCTTAGGATCCACCTGCTGGCATGATTCAGTAGGTAGCTACCAGGAATAGCCAAAATGTAAATCACTTGAGTTACGTTCATGAGGCACTTTTATTATTATCTTTTAGGCTCCTGGCAAAGATTCTGCTGTTCGTCAAGCATTTGAAAGAACAGAAATCCTTCCATTATTATTTCTTGGATGCTTTTATTTTGTATCTTATTTCCCTGAAAGTTTTTTAAAAATATTTTTTCCTTAGTGTGTGTATATATATAAGTTAGCTAGGCTTCATATTCAGATAAAGAGATAAAGCCCAAGTTTCTGCAACCCAATTTATAAACAGGACTTCTACTGTAGAAAATGGCTGTGCTAGCAATGACTGCATGTTGTCTATGCCAAATTCAAAGGAATATAACTTTGCCTTCTTTTAATGTATACCACCATAATTATCTTTTATAAATGCATTGCTTCTGTTTATACATTCTCAAACCATGTGGTCCACTTATCAGTTAAGAAATTTATCAATTAATAGCAGCCCTTTCAGCAGTGCATATGCATGAACTGCAACCTTGCGGGGGTGGGGGGGGGAGGAGAGAAAGATTAAATAAACTAATAAAGCTCATGAATTTTGGGTTGATCCCACCACTGGTAAATTGTACTGACTTTTAGAAGAAGTGCAATTTTATAAAACAGTTGTGGGCCTACATTTTTGGGCCCTGAAGCCCAATTGGGTTGTTCCATGACAGATCACAATTAAAAAAATACTTAAAGTCACTTCTGGGTCTCCTCTCAGATTAGGGCCCCTGAAGCTGAAACTTCATTAGTTTCATAGTAGATCTGCTCCTGGACCACAATCATATTGGGAATGTATGCTGGCACAAGTGTAATGTGTGAACTGCAACAATAAATTGCCACTAACTAATGAGTTTCCACTCACATTCCTGCTCACATGTTAGTCACACAACTTGGTATGACCAGGAATGTCAGCAGCAACTTGTTAATTAGATGCAATTCACTATTACAGTTTACACAATTAAAATTAAAACTCGAAAAAAGGGTTTATTTCATTTCATTTCATTTCATTACTTGCCAAGTATATTTAAAGTTACATGTACACAGTATTGCACTGTATTTAGAAATTATTTGCTGGTCTACAATCAACATAACCACTGGCCATGCTGGTTGAGATTTAGGGATTATATTCCAAAAAAGTAACTCTTCCAAACTCTGGTTGTGTTCAAATTCATTATCCATCACCAGCACAGCCACAAATAAAATAAAATAATAAATAAAATCCAGTAGAATTACAAAAAGAATTTTATGGTAAAAATTCATACAGCAGATAAAACAGTGAATAAAATTCATAAAATCAAGGTCTTACCAGAGAAGGCTTACATGGAAGATGCCAATCTAGCTTCATGTGGCAAAGAATTTACCATTGTTAATATAATACTTGTTTAATTCTTTTTAAATATTTGACTATTTACTGTTTTTAGCTTTTAAATATTGTCTTTTTAATGATGTAAGGCACCTTGGGTCCTTCTCAAGGAGAAGATTGGGATAAAAATATTTTAAATAAATAAATAAATAAATTCTGTAGTTTAGGTGCAACGATTGAGAAGGCCTTTTCTTTTGTCTTGATCAGTCATGTCTCCATCATATTTGGGACACAGAAAATAGTCTCTCTTTCAAATCTTAAGGTCCAAGCCAGGCTGTTTTCTTTTGCAAAATCATTGTGCTGGACTCATAAAAATATATTACAGTACTGAAGGATATAAAAATAAATCAGTGAACTCAGGACTTGAATTCAGATTCCCACTTGGTTATAGATGATGAAAAAGAATCTCAATCTCAGACTGTAACATTAAAGTGGGAGGCAGAGATCTGTGTTGGCTGCCTTAAATCCATTGCAGGAAATGTGGAATATATATGTAACAAATGAAAATAATAAATGGATTTTGTGAAGCTTCAAAGTGTTTATAAAACAACCTCATCATTTGGTCCATCTCTTGCATGTAAATCAATGTCCTGCACTGTTTTTCAGGCATAAGAAATTAATAATAATTCTTTTATGCAAACAAAAACAAATCTCCCCGGTGTCTTGCTTTATCCTGTTGTTTCCCTCAGGAGCTTGGATGGTGGAAAGACATTTGGCACTATAGAAATCAGCTTTATGAAGATGGGGGAGACGGAAGATGGGGAGGCAGATCACATCACAACAGATGTACAGGAACAAAAGGTATGTACCCAGCCTGGTGCACACATTAAATTCAAAGGATGAAAAAGTGCTGGGTGTCTATCATTACTTTAGTCATAGTAGATTTTAAAGTTTCATTTTTTAAAAAAAGAGACAATATCTCCTATACAGTAAAGTACATTGGAATGGAATGTGGTTCTATTTCAGAGCTTGCTTGCAATTTGTCAGCAAGGAAGTACTAACTTTTTAGAAAGTACTAATTTTGTAAAAGTCTGTCTGATGCAATAACTTTGAACATTCTTAATCCTGCTCCTATCCTGCTTCTTACTCCTAAAGTCTTACTCATTAAAGTTAATGTTTACAATCTTGATCAGATTTCAAATAACCTGCCACTAAGGTGCAAGATTAGATTAGTGGAAGCAAAAATAAAATCAAGCATTTTCAGCAGATTTGTCATAGTAAACTATTTAAAAAGTTTTTCTAATATATAACAGAGAGCCTCCTTTGTTCTACATTGCTATTTTCATAACCTTGGCCTTTTTTGCATTCTTGAATGAATTAGATTGCCATTAATTAAAGAGTTCTTACTTTGATTCTGGGCTGTATACAAACTCATACACAATTAAATTTAAGGAATGAAGAATCAAAGGGGCCTTCCTATTGCAAAAAACTTCATTTGGAAAAAAAATCCCCTAAGAATATATGCAAGTATTGATACTAAAATTTGTCTTTTCTCTTTAAAAAAAGTTTAAGTTCAGGCCAGAATTTGGAGAATTACATTTGATTACAGCTTCCTTAATTCCATAGCCGTCATGTGCTGTTGTGAGTTGCAGTCCAAAAAATTAGCTTATCTGAGCACTGGTTCTGACACCTTTGCTGCTCTTCCCTGTATGGCATTTACTGCAGGCCTGCATAATGTAAGGGTTGCAGGTGAACTACATCTCCTTCCTTCATTTGTCTAGTCAGGAGGAGGAAGGATTCCAAATATGGGATAGTGTCTAAGACCTGAAATCAATAACATAAATTACACGTATATGTTATTTATTATACCTTATTAATAAATGGGGGCTGTGGGTGTAGAATTGTTACAGTCAGGAGCATTGCTAGATATTTGAAAGACCTAGGCTGTGTTCCACAGTTTCAAATTTGTATAAAGCTAGTTCAATCCAATTTATATGTATAAATAAAAAATTTAAATTAAAAAATAGTGACAGGACCAAAATCTATGTGACAAGGAGGCTGTCCATCAAAATTAGCATTTTTTCTCATGATTGTTTTCATTAATCCCACAAACTTATCCAGCCTTTTAGGATCTTGAATAATAATGGTATCTTGCAGTGTAATACATTCTGTTGATATGAGCCTGGAGTCTTGAGAAACAAGCAGAGCCTACACAATTTAATATCATGCCACCCTTTCTTTTTTTGGGGGGGGGTGTTGAGGAGTATCAAAAGGCCAAGACCAAGGTGGTGTTAGATGACCCTGGCTGTTAGAACTTGTAATGTGGATTGCTCCCTCTCCTTCAGTCCAAATCACCTTGGGCCAGGAGACTCCTAGACCATAGATGACATCACTAAAGGTTTTGGAATACAAGGACCAAGACTCCACACTGTGCTTCCAGAGCCTTAGATCAAAAGCCTTTAATAATGATGCTGGAATTGGCATCAAGGTGACCTTGAATGATGTGACCACACAGGTCTGCAAGGAGACACGTTTACTTACAAGGCACAGGTATTCAGGAAAGAACAAGAAAATCCTACGCTGTCAGTGTAATCTGGTACCATAAGTGTGGTTAGAACAATGGTTCCCAACCTTGGGCCCCCACATATTCTTGGACTAAAACTTCCTGAAGCCTTCACCACTAGCTGTGCTGGCCAGGATTTCTGAAAGTTTTGGTCGAAGACCATCTGAAGACCCAAGGTTGGGAATCAGCAGGTTAAAAGGAAAAAGCTAGCTCTGTCCAATTTGAGCGCAGCTGAAAGCAGTAGAAATCTTTGTTAACCATGGGAAGCCAAAACAAAGATTCTGCAGGTGTCCAGGCTGCTGCATGAGCTCACACTGTCAGCAAATGGAGGCCGCTAAGAGAGACAAGAAAAGTTGTTCAAGTTTTTCACAAGGGCAGTTGCCATAATTGTGTTTTAGAAAGAGCAAAACTGAGATGGATTGCAGTGTCTCAAGAATAAAATCCCATTAGCAAGATGCAAACTTTGGTAAACATTTGCTTCTATGTCTGGGCTGAAAAGAGTGTCACTGTGCCTTGAGTATCTTTCATTTCAAACCTTCCCTATATCTTATGGATCTGTATACCCAAAGGCAAAGGAATCAGCTTGAAGTTCATAGATTTTGAGGATTGTCATAAAGCAATGTAAAGATAATGTTTGCTTAACTGTATCATGACTAGTAAAGAAATCATAGAATGTTTTGATACGTCTGAGATTCAGGCCTCTGTCTTGTCCCATTGATCTCAGTAGGACATAGACAAAATTTTAACCTCTCCTTAAGAGCTTGCTAAGAAAAATGTATTTCACATACAGTATTGGCATAACAAAGCAAGACAAAATGGGTCTCCCCCATCACAATCTCTCACTATGTCACCATGCGTGCCCAGAGAATAGACTCTTGTTATAAATCATGCTTTCAGATGACCAACCCAACCCCAGCTGTTCAAGTAATATTGAAATCTACTGCTTACTCCCATTCTGTACTGGGTTTCTTTTCTTTTTAAATACAAATACTTCCTTTAGGAATGTCTGAATGCCTGGTTGGAGGGGGGGAAAGATATACTGTACAAGGATTTGATCTGAGCAAATATTTGCATGAACTCAGACAAAAAAGGGGGGTTGAACCTAAGGATATGATCCCTTAGGAGAAGAGTGCTTTTTGGAAAAGAATGTATCAGGACAACGAATCTTATACTTAAAGGAGCTACAAAATCAAGGGAGGCATTTTAGCCTAGTCTCCAGGGTTTTTTTAGTCCAATACTTGTCCAGTTCTTGCTGGACATGGATTGCTGCCTTGTTGTGGCGAAGGGGCTTGAGTAACTCAGAGAAGCTATGGGCTATGTCGTGCAGGGACACCCAAGAAGGACATGACATAGTGTAGAGTTCTGACTAAATGCAACCCACATGGAGTAGGAAATGGCAATGCCACTCCAGTATCTTTGCCAAGAACGCCCCATGATCAGAAACAAAAAGCTAAAAGACATGACGCTGGAAGATGGGACCCTCAGGTCAGAAGGCATCCAACATGCTACTGAGGAAGAGCGGAGGACAAATACAAGTAGCTCCAGAGCTAATGAAGTGGTTGGGCCAAAGC